GTTGAATTGTTTGGAAGGAGGTTGTCCAAGCCGCGGGGCTAGGCGCACAGTGGATGTTGTTGCCAGCACATCTTCCACAATTCTTCTGCAATGAACCAAAAATAGGTGGATACCCAATGCGTGGGGCTTCTAGTGCTTTCTTTTCCTTTGGTACTTTTGTAATAAATTTTTGGTTGCATGAGTTTCTTGGGTTTGTTTGCAGTTCTTGATGCTCTGCTTTCTTTTCCTTTGGTGCTTTTGTAAATTTTTTGGTTGCATGAGTTTCTTGGGTTTTGTTTGCAGTTCTTTTTGAGGTTTGTATACTTAGAATGTACTTGACTTGGTACCCTTAGCACCAAGTAATTTTTACTTATCAAAGCAAGTAAAGTTAAGCAATTTAAACTCGAATCAGGGTTCTCCTTTTATAAACAGCAAATGAAGTTGGATGAAATACTTTTATGCCAGTTGTGGTATATGGCAAATCAGAAGGGACGAACCTTGTTTCATGGTAACTTAGACTATGGTGCGCGGGAGGTTGGGATCATGACTTCATTTAACTCTGTGCCTGCGTGCTTTCATTTTCAACTTTTTTTCGAGACTCATTCTCTGTCAATCCAAGGGCTAGGCTTAAGAAACTTTTTAGAGCAGGATTTGCGGGTAAATTTTCTAACTTTTGAAGGTCGTTATAAAGATCACCTAAATCTTGGGAGAGAGGTGTTACACTCGGTCTCCAAGTATCTCAACTCTGATTGCCATTGTTTCTAATCCCAATGCTATGTTTGCTTCAAGTTATGGCATTGATCACAATTGGTGAGTCTTGAAGCATGTTAAGTCTAATTTTGATTCTAATTTGGAGAGAAGTTATGAAGGACGTTAACTCACCAATTTTTCAATAATGTTTTTAGAACTCGTTGCCATTAACACTAACAATGTAGCCCCGTGAATCGTAATAGTTGTCCAAGATTACACTACTTCTCTTTAAAGAAATTTAAAAAGTAGTAAGAGAAGCTTAATATAAATTTATTTTAATCTTTATTTTAAGAGATGCTTAGTATAAAAATTTATGATAATCTTTACTCTAAGTTAGATGCATGGGATATAAAGAAGTATGCATATAGGCTTAATAAAATAAGATAAGACAGAGAAAACATATGGATTTTAATCTACTAAGCGTATTAGTCTTCATACAATATGAGTACATTAAGGCAAAGTTGAAAATTAACTTTCAAAGGTTGCTGAATGAAAGTTATGCAGGAGTTTAGTTGTTAAAGAATATAAGAACTAGAGATATTAGAGAAACCAAGTTTTTTCCATAGAATTGTTAAAGAATATAAGAACTGGAGATATTAGAGAAACCAAGTTTTTTCCATAGAATTAGAGTGTCCCAGATAGAGAATGCATTGAAGAACAATAAAAATTAAAAAGGACTTGAAAGTATACTTATTGAGATGTAGAGGTAATTAGAGGATGCAATAGTATCTTGATTGACAAAATAATTTGGTAAAATTATATCTAAGAAAGTGTCTTATACGTGGAGGGGGGGTATTTTGCTGTCTTCTAATGTGTTATATAATGAAAGTCTAGGAGCCATGAACTATAAACAATTAATATTTGAAACAACAGTTTTTGAGAACTGGGTTGGATTTATCCATGGGAGGTAAACAATGAAAGTTATATACTTACTTGGCAGAGTGATGGAAAGGTATAGGGAGAAAAAAAATCTTTATGTGGTTTTTATTGATTTAATGGAGCCCTATAGAGTGACTAGTGAGAACAGCTGCAGGTAAAACTTGTTAGTCCAATAACTATAGGCTTACTTTATGGATTATATTTGAGCTCATATATGTTTGTACACTTTAAGCCTTTAAGGAGTAGGTCCTATGATGTATGTTATTAGTTGATGGTATAGCATTGGTTGATTAACCTGAAGTAGTTTTTGACACTAAATTACAAGCTTAGAGAGAAGCTTTGGAATCAAAGAGGATTTGAAATAATGAGTACGAAAACTTACTAGTGGGAATGTAATTGTAGAAACAAAAAATTCAAATAGGAAGATTAGAAAGATAGTAAATATCAAAAATAAAGTGCGACTAAAATACTAATGTTAACTTGGTTGTGTGGAACAAAAATGGACGGAATAAAGGACAAATATATTTGGGAAAATTTTAAAAGAATTGCCAATAAAAAATAATTGAGATAGAATTGATTAAGGTCATTTGGGAGAGTGGTAAGATATCTATCAATGGTAATGATACGTGTAAAGGTAGACTGAATTTGATGTTGACTAAGATAGTAAATAAACTAGTGATAGTTTGTGACATACAGCCCTAGACACGGCATAATGTAGAACATGATCAACTTAAGCAACCAAAAATGTAGGGACAAAGACTTTGTAGAGTAGAATTCAGATGAGTAGAGTGTCACAAAGTTGGGACAAGGCTTTATGGAGTGGAATTTACTATACTCATTATTCTTAGGCAATGTGACAATTGCATCAAATCAAGGCGCTAACACTCAACTTGGATAAATTTCATTTATTTTGAGCCTAATCTGATAGTAGGATGATATAATCCAGATTAATACTACTACCATGTTTTTAAGTAATCCATTTCAGGAAAGCTTGTCTTTCAGACTGAAATTCCTTCTTCCTTAGTATCATAAATTTGTTCTAGGTTTTGTCATTATATTTTCCTTATTTAAATAATTATGGTTCTATTTGTTTTGGAGAATAGATCCCTGACCAATAACAATAATTCTGTGCCTTTTTTTCAATTTGTTGAGTTTTGTGGATTAGATTCCTGACCAACAAGTGTGAGTTTGATGGTGCTGAGGCATGTGATTTACGGTTTTAGCAAAGGAACAACTAGTTGTTGTTCATTGCTTACCACTTCTCAGGTGTCAATTGACTCAATACCATGTGGATTCAGAGAGAGTTGATTCCCCTCTTTGGCTCTTTCTGGGTCTGTCTCCCACCCCCATAGCAGACGGAAAAAACTGCAGCAATTGTTTTTTCTGCAGCTCTTGGTAATTCTCTTGGCAGAAAGTTGGCAAATGAGAAACTTCGATATCTTTTCCATATGGAGCATAATCGGGTGTCAGAATTAGTGGCGATTTAGCTTAGGCATTTTACCACACCAAAAATAAGGAATGATACTGATATTCATGTCCAGCGTAGAGTTGTTGATTAAGAAAACCCATAAACAAATAATGAATATCCAACTACAATTGATTAAGCTGTTAATATATTTTGCATGATGACCCTTTTGAAGTTCACATTAGATTTTGAAGTTCTTATCACCGTTTTGGAGAGGTGAAATTTGATCTCATGAGATAAATCTAGTAAACATTTTCTGGGAGTGCATGAAACTATTTATTGTTACCATTGGTTTTTTCACTTGAGAAATAGGGGAACAAGTTATTACAGATTCTAAGTTTTAGATAGTAAGGTGCATCAAGTGTGTTACGCTGATTTACAGCATTTTTGCTCGTGTGGCATGAAAAAAGAAAGGAAATACTTAATTGTTTGTTAATTCGTTGGATTGTGGAAAACCAAAATTGGGAAAACAAGTTTTCTCACGTGTCTGATGCAGGTGCAGTTCTCCTAGTAAAAGAATTATTGTCAATCGCCATTAGTGGTACTGGTATTGTGGCAGTACTGTTCACTGTACTGTTGCATTAGGCATCCAAGATTATCACGGCAGTATAGCAATTAACTATGTTTTGCATCGGCACTATTAGTTTTGCAGATATTATTAATTCTGAAAAATACAAACAGGAGATTTCTTAATAATCTAATTTACCAACCTTCTGGAATAGTCTACTTTAGCAAAAAATAATCTGCAATTGGACAAACATGAACCTCGATTCTTCTTCCAGTAGTCTAAATGTTTTGGCTCCCTCATCAATCCGAAGATTGTATTTCAAATTTAAAAGCTTTTTTCTTGGTTCAAATTTCGCTCTCCTTTGGTTTGCATAACTTTTCTTCTGTGCTTGGTCCACTGACTTGTAAAACCAACTATGGTGAAAAGTTACAATATCAGTTAGAAATTCTTTCAAGCTTGTGTAAATGTGTGTCAGATAAAGAGTAGACAGTAAAATCACTGGCTCGGTTTCTAAGGTCAATAATGTCTTTGGTCTACGTGTGCAATTAGTAATTCTTTCTGTGGGTCCAACGGTCAGGCTATGTACTGGGACATGGGCCTCCCGTGTAGCCTTCTGCATCCAGAGGAAGGTGGGATTTGATCCCAAGTTTCTGGTGTGACCACGTAGCGACTTTACTAGGTATGCTAGTTGGTATCTTCCTTACAACTTGTAAAATTGCTCATTCTAGATCTGTCTAGAAACTTTTTTTTTAATTGAAAAACGATGCTAAAGCCATTGTAGCATGTGCGGTTTAAGTGCTAGCCTGAATCTTTAGGGGAGATGGTTAGGGGTCCACACCTTATCTTTGCAACAAAAGAAGAAAGAAAAAAGTGGCTTGCTTCTCTTTGTCATAGCCTACGACACCAAGACGTGTCTGAGTGAAAGTCACCTGTTTTAGTAACATCATGTAATATGTCTAGGTAGACATAAGAAAACAATGAAGTCTCCAAATGTGTAGATTAAAAAAACTTATCATTTTACTGCAAGATTGAGTAATGTTTTTATATCTGGATGAATGCTGATTCCTTGTTTCTTTTCGTTGACTATCTTCATCCTTATTGCTTACATGTTGTTCTGTGCACTTGTCATGCTTACAGAACACATTGAATAAGAGAACTGTGTTGGTCATGTTGTTTATGTAAAAAAATCTTGTACTGTTGGTACCCAACAACAATGCTGCGGATTCAGATTGATATATATGTGTGTGTGTGTGAGTGTGTCGAACTTATTGGGGATTCGACTCATATTTGCATGTTTTCCTAATCCTCTCATTTGTACATGGAGCTGTCACTCAGTTGTTGGTGCCTACTTGCTAGTGATTCTAGTTCTATCTTGATAATTCAGAGAGCCCTTTTTTGATTTAATTGTACTTACTAATTATGTATTGTAATGTTGACTTTAAGGATCGCGCGAATGAGATATATAAAAAGGTAGAAGATCAAAAGCCTCTCAGAGGACGAAATCAGGATGCAATTTTGGCTGCCTGCCTTTACATTGCTTGTCGACAAGAAGACAAGCCCCGTACTGTAAAAGGTATAGTTCAAGCTCTGTAAAATTTGTTACTTGCTGATTTGTTGTTCCATGTCTATGACCTGAACATGTGGATTCCAACTAGAAATATGTTCTGTTGCTAATGGAGCCACAAAAAAGGAGATTGGCCGTGCCAAAGAGTTTATTGTGAAACAGCTGGAGGTAGAGATGGGCCAATCCATGGAGATGGGAACTATTCATGCTGGGGACTTCTTGGTGAGTTTGTCACTGCAACATTTTCTTTCTCATTCACGTGTTTTTATATTTGGGATGTTCCCTTAGTAGAATAATGTAACATTAATCATTTGCATATGTCTAGAGACGTTTCTGTTCCCATTTGGGCATGACTAATCAAGTAGTAAAGGCTGCCCAAGAAGCTGTGCAAAAATCGGAAGAGCTGGATATAAGGTAATTGTTGTTTTCTCTGCCACTCTTATTTGTTAGGTATAATTTGTTCTGTTCTGTAATTTTAGTTGTTTGAATCTTCTGGAAAGTTATAGGGGAAAGTAATGCTAAATACCTTCCAAAATCTCATAATACCAGAGGATGGTGTATTTTTCCCCTTCCCTATTCTTTTCTTGTCCTATCATAACTTCTGTGTTCGTCACATGGTATTTGAAACGCTTTAGCATCACATTTTTTAAGTTTGCATCCAATTGTTTGCACGCTATATATGGGATGTTGGCCTTGTGGAATTATCTGCTGGAGCCTTATGCTCTGATATTGCATTTAGATTACTAAGGTGAAAGCAGAATACGAATTTTGAGAACAGTAGGGTCAGATGCTTGTTAGGAAATAAGATGAAGCTGGAACCCGAACTGTATCCTACAAAATCTTCCAGTCTCTCCTCAAAGTCTCTTCCCATATATATGGCTTCAGTCTTCCGCTTGTTGGTATGCTTCTTTTAAATCTTTGCATTTCTGAGTTATCAGCATGCAGTAAGGGACAACTATTGTAGTAAATGATGAAGAGGTGGGGATTGGAAATATTGGAGAGGAAAGATTCATTCCACATTAAAGGGTTTGTGACTTCTATCATATGAACATTTGACTAAAGAGCGTAGTGATATATACAATGGTTTGCAATGTGATTAAATAAAGAAGGAATACAAATAATCTTTTTTACTTTTATCTTACAGGAGAAGTCCAATATCTGTGGCCGCAGCTGTAATATACATGATAACTCAACTCTCAGATGACAAGAAAATTCTCAAAGGTAAGTATTGCATCATACATGGTACTTGTTTTATGGAGGTGATATTGACACCTTTTGGGTGCAGATATATCACTTGCTACTGGAGTGGCCGAGGGAACGATAAGAAATTCCTATAAGGATCTCTATCCCTATGCTTCGAAGTTAATTCCGAATTGGTATGCAAAGGAGGATGCTGTCAGGAGCCTCTGCAGCCCATAACACTGTTAAAATAGCAGTTTCAAGGTAGTGCAGCAATTTATATGTATGGTGCTGCTTCTGCTGCTGCTGCTGTGTTTTTCTTTTTAAGCTCTTCTCATTCTCTCGTTTTCTTTTGTCCTTTTCCAACACTCACCCAAGAGATAATATGCATTTGGGTTGTACGTTTTTGGGTTGTGTAGCATTTTCCTTTCCTATTTTTAGATGTTGATATCTTCAGTTCCAATTCATCTGTAGCTAAGCATGGTTTAGCCACTTGTACTTGGAACATGTTAATCTCTCTCTCTCTCTCTCTCAAAAGTGTTTTTCACCTTTTGATGGGGAACTTTCAGCATTAAAAAAAAAAAAGGCAAACTTTACTTTCTTGGGACATGAAGACAATATGTAATGGAACCACGAAATCTGTATAAAAAATAGGTCACATCGGTTTAGTCAGGTTCCACATTTCAAAAGCAAGATGCACTTAGGGGCCGAAGTGAAAAGGGGGGGGGGGGGGGGGGGGGATCTCTGTATCTGCTTAAAAAAAGTTTATTCATCTCCGGTCTATTTTCGTTAACGGGTATAATTTTCATTCTCATTCTCGTCCGCAGTTAAATTTTTAATTCCTATTCCCGTTTCTTCCGTATCCGTTCAAGTTCAAGTCAACATTTTCAAAAATAATCCAACAATATTTTAAATAATTCAATAACATTTTAAATAATCTAACACAACATAATGTAGCATAACATATTCTAATATAACACAAATTACAAATGTTCATTGCTTCAACAAACGTTGCATGAGCCATGCTACGATAATATGAAATTTTGATATTTTTTTTGTATATTCATAACATAAATATAACTTACTCACCCAATATCAATAAAGATAGCTCATTATTTCCTCAATTGTGGAAATCCACAGTTTTTGCACACATTATATATATGGTTTTGAGAATTTAGACTTTTGCCCCTAAATTCAATTAGTTAATACATGTGGTGAATAGATGATAACAAGTATCTTGATTTTACTTTGTAGGAATAAGTCTAATGTGACCTTGTCTTGGAAAGATTTTTCGCCACAAAAAAAAAAAAAACCCATTTTCAAGTGTTTGACATAAAGGAAGCAAAAATCATTTACATATAACAAAGGGTAGTAATGAATATCATCCAAACTCCGATTACTGATTAAGATGACTGAATCAGTGAAAATCAAAGAAATTAAATAATTAATAGGAGTACATGAGAGAGGTCTATACGATAATGGAAAAATATATTTATAATGAAATAGTCAATTCTTTAATAAATGCATTCTACACACACACATATATATATAACGGGTACATCGGGGGCGGGGCGGGACGGGCGCGGGGTAAGGATAAGTTCGTCTCCATCTTCATCTCCGTTCAAGTTTATACGGATATTTCTGTATATGTCTACCGTCTGATATATATGGTTCATTTTCGATTCAAACGGGACAAATTTGGACGAATACCCGTTTTCTCCGAGTCCTCTGTCATCCTTAGATACACTTCATGATCTTCTCAAAAAGTTATATAACTAACATATAGTTAGTTAAAACACCATGGGTTAGACAATTTCGATGACCATTTATGTTGTATTCGTGTCGTATTAAAGATTTAACAATTTCAAAATCAATAATGATTTTGTGCGGGCTCGATCCTGCACGATATATAAAATATTGGGAACAGATCTCTCCCCTGGTGAACTCTGAGTGAGCCGGTTGAGTGGCCAAACACGCTGCTTGAAACAGCCTACAAGGTACGGTGGCAACCTGGAACGGCAAAGGGAGATCCTGGGAAAGGAAGAACGATCCTGTACGTGTAAAAGGTATTTCCTGGAACAAAGGAGAACAAGTTAGAAGGGCGCCGGAGTGTTTTTCGGCGTATCCCCTCCGACGGTCTAGTCAGTCTTTGAATGAGAGAGAGGAAGGAGAAAACACTGAGAAGGATATTTTTTTAGTAGAGAGTTTGTGATTGCATACCCGCTTTATCTTTTGGGAGGGGTATTTATACCTTAGAAGCTCATGATTGCTGTCAGTGTGGTCAGTAGGTAATTTATCAGGCACAGGTAGCGTGTGTAATCATTTGATGAGGAATGTCTTCTCTAATTGACTGCTCGGGGTCCCGAGCAATCAATGCTGAGTCTGTCGGGACGCCGACGGCACAATATGCTCCTTTCGGGAAGGATGCAATAAATACTCTGTAATAGGAGCATTTATTGCCTTTCATATCCGAACCTTACCGCATTGAATGCGGTCTCGTCAACAGAAGGGTGCAATTAATTTGTTTGCTTTCCCAAGTCGCGTGCCAGCAACGGCATGTGGTTTGTCTGCTTCGGATGTGACATTATTTGCTACGCGTCCATCCCTTATTGGCTGTTACGTCGGTATTCCAGCACGTTCTGACATTACTTGTGTAAGACGAGGTCATGATGAATAGTCTATACTGGCATAGGCTGATGTCCCGAACGTCAGTAGCCTTATCCGGGAGTAGAGGAAGCGTCCAGGATGGAGTGACCCTCGGCACCGAGGAAAGACTCACCTCGGGGACCGAGGCGGTATGTTTCCGAGCCACGCGGTGACCGAGGACACGTGTCGTTGTAAAATGCACCGAATATGTGATCCTATATGAGAGGTACCTCGGGGGAGAGGACGCTTTTTGTCGATGGTGATTGAACCCGAGCAACATTGTTCTAGAAACCCCCGAGGACACGTGTCTTCATCATAGGGCTTCTCAGAAGAGTCCCATCAACTGCCCCCCAGCCTTCGATCTTCTGACGCCGAGGACACGCGTTGTCAAGAGACGAAGGGTTTTCCAACTGCCATCCGTCCTTCATTATGGCCTCGAGCAGCTTTCCCTGGCTTGGGACGTCGTGCGCATTAAATGCGCTGTTTTGGTTCTCCCGCCCAATGATGACAATTTCCCCCCTATATAAAGGGGGTTCTTCTCTTCCATCGTTTTGCCATTCCGATTTCTGACCCAGAATACGCTTTTTCTGATCTGCACGCCGGAGTTTTTGTTTCCTCAGCCATCGTCGACAGCATCTTCTCTTAAAATCACAGCCAGTAAACCCATTGTTGACTCCTGGTCTTTCCGGTGCGAGTCATTTTAAATTTTTTCCTGAAAAACTCTGTTTTCGACGTTTTCGGGTGAGTTTCACAACCTTCTTCTTTATCGTCCTCCTAGCCTTCTTGTTTTCCGATTGAACGGTGGTCATCCGGTCGGTACGTCTTGATTTAAACCCTCGGGGAACTTCCTCAGGTTTTCAAGAGAGAACACCTTCCTTCCCTTTCTTTTAGAGATGCCTCGTCGTCGCCCTGCTCCCGAGAATCCATCGGCTGGTCCCTCGGGGTCAGGAAAATACAAGGTGACAGGCGAGGCGCAGATCGATAGGTTCAGGGCTAAGTATGGCATCCCCCCGAGCGTGGACGTAGTGGGCTTTAACCCTTTGTTGAACTCTCCTACCTTCGGGGCCGCGGATGCCATGCCTTTCTATACCAAGGCCATCATAGAGGGTGGAATTAGGTTTCCTTTACCCCCCCTGCTTCTTCAGTTCCTGTCTCGCTTCCGTCTCTTCCCCGGACAATGCTGCCTCAACGTCTTTCGAATAATTATGGGGGTCCTAGAGCTCAATAGGCGCCTCGGGGTGAATATTGGGCTCAATGATCTCCTTTTCTGTTACTCCCTCCTAAGAGTCATGCCTCACCAACATTTCTACCTCAAAGCCAGGGACCCCTCCATGTACCTTGTAACCCATCTTCCTGATTCGGACAAGGGGTACAAGGACGACATCTTGATCTTCAAGGGATGTTGGGAGAGGGGTGTTGGTCCTGAGTACAATGACTTATTTTGCCCTCGGGAATGGAGAACGACAAGTACGTCGGTTCCTTCGGGTTCTTTATTTGTTTCTTAGGGCTTCTCATGTTTATGACAATCTTTTTTGTTGTGCAGATATTCCTTCTCGGGAAACAGCTCCACCCCCTCGGTCGCTGGTCAACTTTGTCGACCTAGTATCGGTTTGGAGTTTCACGGGCGCCGACGGATTTGGCCGAGCTGCCCATAATCTGCTGCACTATACCCCCGGGTACAAGAAGTTCTCACAGCTCCCTCAACCTTTCGAGCCTTCGCAGTGGTCAGAGCTCTTTGATCAGGCGGCGAGGCTAGAGGTCGAGCAGAACTTGGAGGAAGACCCGGATCGGGCTTCAGAGGGAGAGGTAGAGGGAGTTGCTGAGGAGGTCGGGGTCAGAGAGGACGTTGCTCCTTCGGACGCCGAGGTGGGGACTTCGGGAGGCGACTTGTGGCCCGATTTTCAAATTCTCCAATCTTTGGACGCCGAAGACGCTCTCGAGGAAGCGATGTCCAACGCCCCTCGCATTAATTTGGGGTTTCTTAGGCAGAGGCAATCCCTCGCAGCCGGGAGAGGTCGAGGGACGACCGGTGGTACTCCGGCAGGAACCAGTTCCGCCAATTCTTCGAGGGCTCCCGATTAGGGTCAGGTGCGAGACCGGGATCCTCAGGTGGAAGAGGAGAGAAGGGTCAAGCATCGGCATGACGGCCTCAACCGGGGACCCAGGGCACCTCCCGCTCAACCTCAAAGCGGGAGGGATCGTGGATTACCGCCTGCTCCCCCACAACAGCAACAACAACAGCAGCCCCGACAACAGCAACAGCAGCAGCAGCAGCCACAGCAGCAGACTACTCCTTCCCTCCCATCCTCAGTGGAGGCCGCGGTGTGGAATCCTCGGGCCACTGATCACATGAACCGAGTGATCAGGGTCGACGATTCCATTCTGCAGGATCCCCATGTCGCCCATGCAGTGAGTGAGACATTGCATTTTGAGGCTGACATGGAGGCTCATCGGGGGCGATCAACCAACGTGTTGTTCCGCTCCATGATCCAGAATTCCCTGGTGGTGAGTTTATTCCTGTTCTGATCCCTTCACTCTCGTTTTCTATTTTTGTGTTTTTAACACTCTTTCCTTCCTTTACAGGCTACCCAGCA